GCTGCTGCCTATAAAGCGTGGAAGGAATGCTAGGAAGGGGTGGGAGGGGACAAAGTTGTCTTGTATGACCAAGGGTCCATTATTTATTAAGCCCTTCTGTGTACAAGATACACAGCCCAGTGCTCCCGCGCTCGATTCCTCTCCACATCCCAACAACCCTGTGAGGTAGGACTACTTCCTGGTTTACCCACAAAGAAGAAAGAGAGGTTTTAGAGGTTCATTGACTTGTTTCAAGGACGTCAAGAATGTGAGCGTGGAGTCAGGAGCTGCACTCGGGCATCTTGTGTGGGAAACCTGGGCTCCTGGCTGCCCCCACTTCTTCAGCCCCAGACCCCCTCCCAGTCCAGCACCTGGGGCTCCCCAGGAGCATTCTGCCCTCCAGTGAAGGGGTTCAAACAACTCCAGGCCACTCCAGGGCCCATGCACTGTCCCTTGTCCTGACCCTAACTCCTCATGCTGTTCTCAACTCTGCCTCCTGCCATGATTTCTGTATCTTTAAGGAGCCTGAGACCCTAGAGGCTGGTATTTGAATCCCTCTAAAAAATTGGAACTCTGCTGCCCCCTCTCAGACCTGGTTTTGACTTCTATCCAGCCTGGATGCTAGGAGAGGCTTGTCCTCAATTGTCCCACAGGGGCTCCAACTGCCTGCCGGACACCTGCTGCCTCCTTGGGGAGCATTCCCCACCTCCACCCTCCACCCCGGGCCCGGCCCCGTTGCCCTCCCACCCCTCCACTCCTTCACCTGACTCGACCCTTCTAGCCCTGGCAACTGAATCTGTGTTCCCAGCCCTGGCCCTGCCCCAGGGGAAAGGCCTGGGGCTCAAACCCAACAGCCAGTTGGTTTCCTGAGAGGCCTACAGAACGAGGTCCACAGTGGCTGGCTGCTGTGGAGATTTGTATTTGATTTTTGGTTTGAGCTTGTAGCTCTTGAGTGTCTCCTCTGTGCCAGGCACCGGATTAATCATGTAAAGTGGATTTCTCATGTAACCCTCCAGTAGCACTGTGAGTAGACAAAAAAGCTGCTGTTATTGCTATCAATGGGCTGGTCTAGTCCCACTTCTGAAGCTCTGTTGATGGGTCTGGGAACCCTGAGACCCCAGAATCAAGGCAAGCAGCCCCTCCCTGGCTGAAAGCTCCACCTTAATTCCCATCTCCAAGGCCTGGAGCTCACTGCCCCCCCTGAGTCAGGGCCAGGTACAGATGCTGCTCAGGTGCCATGGCTGGAAGATTGTGTCCCTTTTTCTAGGACTATAAGGCCTGACCCTTGCCCAAAGCTTTGCTCTAACATAGTGCCCTTGGATTTTCTCCAAGTCTGTCTGTTCTGGGCCCTGCAGTAATAGCCTCAGTTGGACAAGACTGGGGCAGCAGATTCCTACAACCACTGGCCCTGGAGTATGAACACCCAGCTGTCTGCAGCTGAGGGTGCTTCCAGAATCCCTGTGTGAGGAGGGCTGATAGATCCCTGATCCAGAGAAGATGCAGACATACCTGTCCTCCCCAGGGCTGCCATCCACAGAGAGGCAGACATACAGGGGAGGCCCATAGTGCCAAGACACAGCCCCTCCCTGCACCCCAGAGACATCAGTCACTGTGCAGTCAGAAAGCAAAAGCCACTCTACACACTTTGAATAAAAAGGATTTAATATAAAGGGTGGGCTAGCTGGGCCTGGTGGCACACGCCTGTAATTCCAGCTACTCAGGAGGCTGAGGTAGGAGGGTCATAAGTTTGAGGCCAATCTAAGCAACTTAGCAAGATCCTGCTCACTGTCCCCCCCTGAGTCAGGGCCAGGTACAGATGCTGCTCAGGTGCATGTCAAAATAACATTTTTAAAAAGGAGGGGGAGCCAGGCCTATGGCACACACCTGTAATCCCAGTGGCTCCGGAGGCTGAGGCAGGCCGATTGAAAGTTCAGAGCCAGTCTCGGCAACTTAGTAAGGCCCTAAGCAACTTAGCAAGACTCTATGCCAAAATTTTAAAAAGAGGGCTAGGGATGTGGTTCAGTGGTTAAGCACCCCTGAAGTCAATCCCTGGTACCAGAAAGAAAGAAATAAGGAAAGAAATAAGGAAGGAAGGAAGGAAGGAAGGAAGGAAGGAAGGAAGGAAGGAAGGGAGGGAGGGAGGGAGGGAGGGAGGAATGCAGGGCTACTGAGGATGTAACTCAGTGGTAGAACACCCCAGGCCTCAATCTCCAGTATTGCCAATAAATAAATAAATAAATAAATAGGATACTCAGGTGAGAGAAGATCTGAATAGCATCCCAGAGATTATCAACAGCAAATAGACATTACAGCTGGATGCAGTGATGCACACCCATAATCCCAATGACTTGGGAGGCTGAGGCAGGAAGACCTAAAATTTGAAGCCAGTCTCAGCAATTTAGTCAGGCCCTAAGCAACTTAGTGAGACCCTGTCTCAAAATAAAAAATAAAAACTGCTGGAGAGGTAGCTCAGTGGTAAAGTGCCCCTGGGTTCAATCCCCAATATTTTCTATATATATATATATATATATATATATATTTTTTTTTTTTAAAAAGACATTACAGCCCCTAGGGCTGGAGGGACATAGGGAAGAGGCGATGTTATTGATGTCCAGGATCTGGGGCCACCAGATAGACACTGGAAGCATAGCCAGGCCTGTCCAATGGGACTGGGGACCATGAGGGAGGACCATCCAGTAGGAGTTAGGACCATAGAGGAGACCAGCCACTGGTAGAGATTCTCCCTAAAGCAAAGATAGGAGGAAATGCCTTGGCTGCTCCCACCAGCCAATGCCTCCCAGGGGCCCAACCTACCAGGTAACCAGAGGGCAAAGAGCCTGGGAAACATGGTACCCTGCAGTATAGAGCCCAGAACCGAACTAATTCTTCAGTGAAGATTCTGACAGTCAAGACTGAATTCCAGAACAGCCACCCACAGTCAGGCAGCCGATGCAAAGAAGGGGCTTGTGCAGATTGCACAACCTCCACACATAAGATTTCATATAAAAACAAACAAACAAACAAAAACTGGTTTCTGGCTTCTTTTGAAAAATCAAAGTATCTGGTCCCACTAGGCTCTCATTTCAATGTTGCAGTTGTTGGTTGGAACCAAGAAGCTGCAGCTCTTTAGACGTAGTGTATCAGCCTCTGGTACAACACAGACCCCACTACTCCCTAACGTCTCTCTCTTGGGCTTCCTCTCTGCTCTCCCTGCAGAGCATCATGGGCATTGCAGTTTGACCCCAGAGGTGCTTCCCAGCCATTGCTCAGAGGATGGGCAGAACCCTGCTGCCCCCTGGTGGTCACAGCTCACACATTCCATGATGCACATCAGTGATTCTCTGCAAGACCATTTTTCACCAATTGTCTCATTTAATTTTTAACAATCCTGTAAGAAAAGGAGTTGTTGCATGCATTTTACAGATGAGAAAACAAAGGGTAAGTTCAAAGCTTGACAGATAAGGAAGGTTAAGTGAACAGATTGGGGGTGGAGACCCCAATCCCTGTGTGTGGGGGAAATGGATCCAGCTTTTTATCTCTAGTTCAGAGCATCTTAGGCTATGTCACGCCTCCTAAAATGACTCTTCCCTGTTAGAAATGAGGTCCTGGTGGGGCGAGCCAGGGGTCACTCACTGGGAGCCCTCTGGGGAAGGACAGGGCAGGCTAGAGGCCTTCATTAAACTTCTTCACATATAGAAGCCATGATAAATGCATTTGCTACTTGCCTAAGGTCAAGTAGACCTCAGACTCAAGTTTTCTTTTCTGTTATTATTATTAGTCGTCATAGTAGTAGTACTGGGGATTGAACCCAGAGGGACTTTACACTGAGCTACATCTCCAGCCAATTTTAAATAAGACAGGGTCTCATTACGTTGCTGAGGTTGGCCTTAAACTTGTGATCCTCCTGCTTCAGCCTCCTGAGTTAACTGGGATCACAGGCCTGCACCACCATCCCCAGCCAGACTCAGGTTTTCTATGGCTGAGTGCTAGGGACTTTTCATCTGCCACCTTGCTTCCCCAAGCCTGAGAAGGACTTTGTCTCTTCTGCTTTCCCAAATTCTATCTATCCCACAAGGCTAGCACCTGCCCCACCTCTTCCAGGAAACCATCCCTGAGCACCTCAGCCCTCTCAGATCTCCCCCTTGCCTGAACACCTACCAGCCTGGCCCACGCACTTCTTCATGAGTGCTGATGGCATTGTGCCTTGGAGGGAGAGAAAGCTGCTTGATGCCGTCCATCTCCAGCCAGTCGGGAGATGGCTTGAAGGCAGGGCTTTGGTGTTCCCATCCCTTCTGTGACATCTAAGCAATATGCATCAACATCTATTACGTAAAGCACATGACAGAGGCTTAGAGAAATTCTGGAAGAAACACTTCCTGTCCTAGTAGGGCAGGCAATCTCCTGTGGGCACATCAGGAACACAGCCAGAGCCTAGTGATCTTCCTAAAATAAAATTCTGAGCCTGTCACTTTTCTGCTTCAAGCCCTTCAGTAGCTTCCCACTGCCCTCAGAATAAAACCTGAAGCTCCTTACCAGGCTGCCCCACACCCTGCAGACACCTGGGTTCCAGCCCTCTGGCACCTGCCATCACCACCATCACCTCTGGCTTTTCCATGAGCCCTTCTGATTACCTTCACCTAACCCAGGTGCCTGCTGGGCCTCCTCTTGGATAGCACTTCTTCCAGGAGGCCTACCTGGACCACCAGGTCTGAGTCAGAGGCCACCCCCTGCCTTGAGTTCCTATTACTGCCCTATCCTGACCCTTATATCTGCATACCTAACTGCTGACTGGTCTGTCTCCCTCCGATTGTGGGCTCTGGAAGGACAGGACCCCAACTGTCTGATTTCTTTCTGTATTCCCAGCATCTCTATCCAACTCTTGGAGGCACCAAGCAGGCATTCAAATAAACACATGGACAAACAAGGTGCCATTTTTATAGATAGCAAGTGTCCAATGAGCAAATGGCCCACCGGGGCAGCTGACTACCCAATGGTTAAAGCCACAAATTCCAGACACACTGTCATCTTTGCAATCTTTTATTTCCAGCATTTCACATCAGTTACTCACGGAGCAAGTGCTCATTACATCAAACAAGAATTCATTCATCTTTCCTTGGATATTGCAATCTTTTTTTTTTTTTTCAGTGCTGGGGATTAAGCCCAGGGCCTCACACATGCTACGCAAGTGCTTCACCACTGAGCTACATCCCAGCCCTTGGCTACTGCAATCTTATTCTCATGTCCAAAACTGAGTTGGAGTCCAAAGGGTTAAAGAGGTCTCCCTCCCCTGCAGGGAGCAAGGGTCACCCTTGTGAATGAGTCTGCAACTCCTGAAAGCCTTGTGCAGTCCTTAAGTAAATATCTTGGCAAGTTAGCACATGATAACCCAACGGTGAAATGAATGAGACACAGTGCAAAGGGTTCTAGGCATTTTGGGGTAAAGAAGGCACATTACACAGAGTCCCCTGGAAAAAATATAGGCCATTCTCTATCTTCTCGATATGCATTTTCTCACTCTTCAGTGACTTTTAATCTCATCCACTGGCCTATGAGAAACCATAACCCACATGCTACTGAACACATTTTTATTTTCCCTTCATGAAATAGCCTTGGTTCCAAGCATATTTCATTTTTCTCCCTTATGCCTACAAGAACATCCAATTTTGTTTCGGTCCCTTTTAATGGCACTTAATAAATATACATTCTGGGACCTGACAGAACAGGCTGTCCTATTTCAAGCTGCCTCTAAAGCTGCCTGTTTAAACAGCTAGTACAAAGCTCAGATGGGGCACTTCCTAGTTCACCCCATCCCACCTCTGACCCCAGGTCTATTTGTCTACCACTGTGTGATCAGGCAGGGGTTCTCAACCTGGCTGCACATTAGCTGTACCTGGGGGAACTTCCTGCAGTTCTGAGGCCTGAGCCACACCCCAGGTCAATCACATGGGCCTCTCTGGGTGGGCTCCTGGCTTGCATCATGATTTAAAGTTGCCCAGGTAGCCGCAGTGAGCAGCCCTGCTGAGAAGCCCTGAGCTAGATTGACAGCACACAGCGGGCTGTCAGTAAGTACCTGAGCAACCCACGAGTGGATTGCCTACTTTATTATCTGTTTCTCTCTGATTCCAATTTTTATCAGAAGTCTGAGCAGGAAAGAGAAAGGAGAATGCTACGAGCACATGTAGTAAAGTGAATTTGGGGCTGGGAAATAGATTGTGGGGACTGAGCTTCTCTTGCATTATGCAGAATCTTCATGCTTTAACAAGCCCAGAGGAGGCACATTACAGCCTGTCTGACACAGACAAGCATGTATTTCTCAAGAGCCTTCTAGAACCAGAGCTAACAGCGTTAGGCACTGAAGGTATAACACTGAGACATTCTTCAAAATAAATCTAAACAGGGATTTTTTTCTTTTTCTTTTCTTTCTTTCTTTTCTTTCTTTCTTTTTTCTTTTTTTTTTTTTTTTGGTACTAGGGATTGAATTCAGGGGTGCTTAACCACTGAGCCACATCCCCAGTCCTTTTTTTGTATTTTATTTAGAGACAGGGTCTCACTGAGTTGCTTAGGGCCTCACTAAATTGCTAAGGCTGGCTTTGAACTCTTGATCCTCCTGCCTCAGCCTCCCAAGCTGCTGGGATTACAGGTGCATACTACCACACCTGGCTTAAACTGTGTTTTATATACACTCTCATAAGGATCCGTTCCAATCTTGCAAGATAGATGAAGATCACAATGCATCAATTTCCCCCTTCCTGTGAATCTTGCAGTGTATCTTAGCCCAAAGCATCAGCCTAGAGGCGGTGACCCTTCAGTGGCTACATTCAGCATTGCCCCAGATCAGGCTTCCTGGGCAGGCATGTTATTGAGGAGATTCAATTCCCAGGTTTGAGAAAGGGGTGACTTATTCACAGTGAATTCAGCTATGGGCCGCATGATGTCAACTATGGACTGTGTGGATGACAGTGGTCCTAAAGATTATATCTCCCAATGCTGGCATAGCCTCTCTATGCCATCTGCACCACAAAATCTCCTAACAATGCATGGCTGTGCAGAAGGACCTCAAGATAGATCCTGGGTTGAGGGAAAGAACACTGTGCCGTGAACCATGTCTGCTGCCATGGGATGGACACAGGGTGCACAGGACTGCCAACCTAGGCCAGCAGTGGCTGGGCCCACCTGACTGACACCACTGATGGAATTTACCCTGGTATCACGCCCTTCAAGGTTGACAAGCCTCAACGTCCTGAGCCTTGGATCACTCTCACAGCCATGTGAGTGAAGTCATTCTAGGTGGAAAAGCTGCAGTGTGTCCTATGTCTAAGGCCCACAGCCAGCCACCTCCCACCCACACCCACTGCTGCCTCCAGGCCCTCGGAGGCAACTGAAAGCAGGGGGTTCCCTCAGCTCTTCTACCCAGAAATGGGAAACCAAGCCATTACCTCACCCCCACCCACCAGGCCTGTAATCACCTACCTCACAGAGTTTCTGCAATGATTTGCATGTCCCTTTGTCCCCTGGTCCAGAGAAAACAAGGTTGTGCACTGCTGCCAACAGCCTCACACACCCCACCTGACATGCTGTCAAAATCCCCACTTCCCTGGAACCTCCTCTGAATTTGCCTACACACATTCCAGAACTGTGACTTGGCCACACCTCCTCCAGGGCCCGGCCAAGAGTCTCCTGGGAACCTCTCCACTGGCCAGACAAACCATGGCTCCCCTCTGGAGAGGGCTCCCAGTGGTTCACTGTCCCAGATAACTCAGCTCACAGTATGGAGAAACAAAAGACAACTGGTCAACCCCTGACACAGGCTGGAACTGTGAGGCCAGGCAGCTCTGGACTTCTCCAGGGGTCCCTCCTTATAACCACCCAACACAGAGGTAACATTCACCTGGTGGCCCACTCCTGTGGGCAGGCCTGGATGGAATCACAGGTAATTACAAGCTGTGGCAAGTCCTGGCCAATCATCCATGACCTGCCATCTAGCAAGTTGTGACTGCAGGTTGGCATGGCTTCTTAAGGTAGACATAGTGAGTGATCCTGGCTGGGGCCTTTGGTAGTCACCCCCACCCAGCATCTGCCAGGCCCAGCTGCTTCTCCCTGCTGCCTTCTGGATGCCCTCCACTCACCCTGGCCTGATCCCTCCACCCCCACATTTTCTTTGCTTCTTTTTCCCACCAGGATCACAGCCTCTAAACCTTTCCCATCCCTTGGCAACATAGAAGAGGGCACCCTAAGAGGGCAGAGTCCAGCCCCATGGAGCTGGACTTGGGGCTCTGGCCAGGAAGCTGGAAGGTACATATCCCCTCTGCCCATTCACTTCCACCAGGCTCCATTCTGGGTTCCCCTTCTTGTCCTGGGCCTCCAAGACGGTCACAGGCTGGCCTGCCTGCAGACTCACTTCATGGCTGCTCCTGGCCACAAAGGGGTACACGGCTACCACCTGAAACACACAAAGGTGATATGGCAATGGTCAAGCCCCAGAGGCTGTTCATCCTACCCGACTCGGGTCCCCACTGCCAGGCATTCCTTGCCTCACCGGGTACATCCTTTGTGCCAAAGACAACGACATCTGCTAGCGATTACTAGGCAGTTGGCGCTGCTCCAGGACTTTTCTGGGTCTTGTTTTTCACAATTCTATCATTCTATTTGCCCCAGTTTTTCAGAGTAGGAAATTGAGACTTAGAGAAGTCAGGAACTTATTCAAAATACACAGCTGTGACCTCAGAGCAGGTGAGCCGGCTTAGCAGCCTCTGCCTCCCCAGACCTAAGGGTTCTATCCATCAGGCCAGTTTCCCAGCCCAGAGGCAGGAGTTTGAGCAACATGGTTACTTGTTAAGGAAAAGCCCTCCTGGGCCTTTATTAAACTATTATTTAACTTTTCTGGGCCTTTGTTTCATCATCTTATGCAATGGGAGTAATGATGTTTTACTTTCTGGGTCATTCTGAGAATTTAATGAATGAATACATACAGAGGGCTTCACACAGGGCCCGGTACACAGTCAAGGCCCAGGCTGCTTGGATTGTGATTACCACTGCTGTTATTACCGTGGCCAAGCCTAAGGAGCCATATGCAGCCTGGGAGGGTCCCAGGGGAGTCCACTGAGCACCCCTGAACAGAGCAGAAGCTTCTAGAGTGTTTGGGTGATGGAGAGCTGAGCCCAGGGTGGGGCTTCCCTGAGATACTGCCAACACTGGCTGGAAGCTGGGTGGCAGTGGCAACCTTTCCCAGAGGCACTGGGCTGGGGCTGATTTGGGTGGTCAGGGCCTCTGGTGCACCCTGTGAGTCCCTTGCAGCCATGGTGCACTATTTCTGGCTAAGGCTGAGGATGTTGGCCCAGAGCCTTCGTGGTGGGTGCAACAGGAGCCATGCAGTTAGGTTGTTTCTCCAGGCATCTCTACAGCAGCTCCAGGCTCCTCAGCACTCCAGCCAAGACATACGCAGACTGTGCTCAGCACCACTGGGTCCCTCCCCTTCAGCTGTATTCTTTCTGTCACTCAAACCTCACCCATGAGTTCCCCTTTGACTGCTGCTGACACCTGGGACAGGCACCCTCCACTCTTGGATGTTCATAATATGACCCTCCAGCTTTGCCAGCTCATCCATTCCTCTCAAGGACCCCACCATACTGCTGACCTAACAAGGACTCTGCCCTGCAAAGCTAAACCCCTCAGTGGCCTCATTTTTTTTTTTTTTTTTTGGAGATGTAATTCATATACCTATAATGTTACTCTTTTAAAGTGTACAATGCAGTGGCTTTTAGTAGGTTCATAGATAAGTACAACTATTACCACCATCTAATTCCGGAACGTTTCACCACCCCAAAAAGAAATCCCACAGCAGGTAGCAGTCACTCCTTGTTCCCTGTCCCTCAGCCCTGCCCATGACTACACTTTCTCCGTCCATGGATTTGACTATTCTGGACACTCATATAAGTATAACCCTACAATAGGTGGCCTGTTGTGTCTGGCTTCTCTCACTCAGCATCATGTGCTCCAGGCTCAACCATGCTATAGCACATGACAGTACTTCATTCCTTTCTATGGTTGAATCCTATTCCACTGCCTGGCTGTATCAAGTTTTGCCTACCTATCATGTTGATGGACATTTGGGTTATTTCTACTTTGGGTTCTTATGAATAATGCTGCCATGAACACGGATGTTCATATTTCCCACTGTCTTTTTCTTTTCTTTTCTTTCTTTCTTTTTTTTTTTTTGGTACTGGGGCTTGAATCCAGGGGTGCTCTACCAGTGAGCTACATCCCCAGCCCTTTTTATTTTTTATTTTGAGACAGGGTTTTTCTAAGTTGCTGAGACTGGCCTCAAACCTGTGGTCCTCCTGCCTCAGCCTCCCTAGTTGTTGGGTTTACAGGCATGGGCCACTGTGCCCAACTTTCCCATTGCTTTTGTGAGAAAGATTGAGGTCCTTGCCAAGATCACAGGCCCCAGTTAGCCTGTCTTCATCCACCTTGCCAGCAGTACCTCACCCCACCCTGCCCCTCTCTCTTTCCCCACCCACTGACTTCATCCAGTCCCTCACATAGCCCTGTCCTCTCCTTTACATAGGTCACACATACTTTCTGGAGAGCTCATGTCACCCACACCCCTTATGCAGTTAATTCACCCTTCCTATCTGAGAAAAAGCTTCCTTCTCAGAAAAATCTCTCCACGCTCAGGGCTCTTGCACTTAAGCCTGCTGACTTTACAGTAATCCATGCACTTATTTTATTAATCATTGTTTTCCCCAGGTTTTAAGTCTGAGGAGGGCAAGGACCATGACTTACTCTTGTTCATCATTATGTCTCATGTGCCACCATAGCTGGCCAATACTGAATGAATGAATGAACCCTGCTTGCCTGGCTGGTGGGGACAAGGATTAGCTCTCCATTGTCAATGTGGCAGGGGTAGGAGGCCCCTTCCTCCAGGTCCCACCCCTGGCCAGGACATTGACATGATCACTGATCAAGGCCTGGCCTCACAGGGTGGTGACTCGTCTAGGTAGCAGGAGCATAGATTTCGACAGAAGAGGAAAATCTAAGGCCCAGTCCAGGTGGTGGAGCAGAGACAAGCCTGCACCCTCTCCCAGACTCACCTGGGTCACAGCCGGGACGGAGCAGACAGGGGCTGGAGTGGGCTCTGGTGTTAGGTGTTGGGAGCCCTCACGTGGCCCCGCCTGTCCTCTGAGCTCCTTCTCACTGGGGACCACCTGGTACAGCTGCAGTTTGCCGGCCGGCACGTATCCCCGATGTCCTGGGGAAACATGCACAAGGTTACCAGCTGCAGGCTGCCTTCCCGTCCAGTTTAGTGGAGGGAAACTCCAACAGCGTCTCAGCACCCGGGGGTCCTGACAGGGTCATGCAGGACCCTCCCAGCCCCCCTTCCCACTGTGCACTATTTCTAGCTTCTGCTTGCTTACCCCCAGTGACAGGGGATTCATTCCCTCCTGGGTCAACCCTCCTGCTATAAACTGCTGACAGAGAGATACAAAGTTCTCCCTTGGACTGAACGAAATCTGCTTTCCTGGTGGCCCGTGTCCCTCTAGTGGATGCCCAGAGCAAAGCTGCTTCCCCTCCCCGGTTGCCTTCCCCAGACGGGGATCGCCTTGCTCCTCTCCAAGTGGCCTGCTCCTTCTCCTGCAGAGGCCACTCCAGTGCTGTTCTGGTTGCTGTCACGATGAATGGCCATTACTTCCCAGGGGCTTGCTAGGTGACAGAACCAGCATGTGATTTAGTCTTCCCACTACTTCCTGAGGTGGGGTCAGGCTGTGATCTCCCTCCTATGTTGAGGTGGCTGAGCTCGGAGAAGCTCCGTGACTTCCCTGGGCTCACAGAGTTAGGAAAGTGGTAGGGCTGGATCCACATCCGGTCCTCAGGGCCCAGGCCTTGCTCCAGCATGCATTCCATCACCTCCCCATCAGTCATCAGAGCACTTTTCTGTGACATCTGCCTGTTTGTACCACTTTCTTAATTTTTAACACTGACCCACTCTTTAAAACTTGGCCTTATACTACATAATGAATTCATAATTCATAATATTATGAATATAATCATGGACTTAGAGATCAGTTATATTTTTTCCAATACACATTAAAATACTTAAACAACAATTATAAGACACTGCCCGACGGGGACAACATGATCTGTGAGTCCCCTCACCACAGTCCTGGGCAACCCTCACCTTGTAGGTCACATGCCTGTCTCTGGAACATGCTGCTAGGCCATTGTTGTCCTGGATTCATGGTGCCTCTTGCACTCAGCCCAGCTACACAGGGGCACCCTGGCCTGAGCAGCACACCCAAGGCCAGGGCCAGCAGAGGGAGGCAGCTTCATCACTGCCCTGGTTCTGGACATCAGGCTCCTGTCCATGTAGCCAGGATCCAAGCACCTCTTCTCTGTGTAGACCGCCAACCTTCACAGTATTGCTGAGGTTCTCGCCATATATCTGTCTACTCTGAGTCTATGAGATCCCCCAAGGTAGGGTCCTTGGTGTTTTTGTTTTTGTTTTGTTTTGTACCAGGGATTGAATGAACCCAGAGGCACTTAACCACCAAGCCACATCCCCAGCCCTTTTAAAATATTATTTAGACATTTGGAGACACGGTCTTGCTGAGTAGCTTAGAGCCTCACTAAGTTGCTGAGGCTGGCTTTGAACTCGTGATCCTCCTGCCTCAGCCTCCTAAGCAGCTAGGATTACAGGCATGCACCACTGTACTCAGCCCTTGTCTTATTTTCAAAGTACCCGGAACACAGGTGCTTAATGAAGGATGTTGCAATGAAAGACTAAATTCCTGTTTTGGACATTCCGTAGCCCACTGACTGCACCCCAGGCCCTATATCAGTCACATGTGCTCATTCCCATCCTGGATTTGCACAGTCAGAATCTGTCCCACTAGAGTGATTGTCTCCCCACCAACTTTGATTGGGTGGCTTTCCCAGAAGGCACACATACCCCCAGTGTCCACCAGCCAGCGACTGCTGTTGCCCTTGGTGTCCTTGTTTTGAAGGAGGGCCACGATTTGGCCCCGTGGCAGGGTCAGGTCCAGAGTCCCAGACCCACTGATGTTGCTTGTGACCTGGTACAGCTTCCCGGGGCCATACCTGCTGAGGAGAGCCTGCACCTGCCGTTCAGAGCCTGGAAGGAGTGGCTGGGGAGAGGAGGGACAGACAGACACAGGGCTTGAGTTAAGTTGTCTAGGTTGGTGTCTACATGTGCTGAAGCCAGGGGTCCTGACCCACCTTACCTCCATCAATGAAGGCCCATCCTGATCAGAGCAACTGTGCTCTCGCTAGTGGGTGGTTGGCTCTTAGCATCCAAAGGCATTTGAGGAGAAGCTTGCAGCTTCTGGGATTCCCTAAAATACTAACTCAAGTTCTGTAATTTCTCAGGTACAGAACTCCTAGGATTGAGGATGCAGAGTCAAGATTAAAAATAAAAATCGGGACACAAGCTGGGCTCAGAGTCATCCTAGTGATTCAGGAGGCTAAGACAGGAGGATCACAAGTTTGAGGCCAGTCTGGACAACTTAGCAAGTCCCTGTTTCAAAATAAAAAATAAAAAGGGCTGATGGATGCAGTGGCACACACCTGTAATCCCAGCAGCTGAGGAGGCTGAGGCAGGATGACCATGAGTTCAAACCCAGCCTCAGCAAAAGTGAGGTGCTAAACAACTCAGTGAGACCCTGTCTCTAAATAAAATACAAAATAGGGCTGGGGATGTGGCTCAGTGGTCGAGTGCCCCTGAGTTCAATCCCCAGTGTCCCCCCCAGAATAAGTAAATAAAATAAAAAGGGCTGAGGATGTAGCTCTGTAGAGCACCTCTGGGTTCAAACCATAGGAATGTTTTAAAAAAAATCAGGACAGGATGCAATTTAGTAGTAGAGCTCCTGTGTAGCAAGTGTAAGGCCCTGGATTCAATCCCCAGCAAGAGAGAGAGAAGAATAAAGAATCAAGACAGCTCAGTGTTCCTAAACAGATCTAAAACAGAAGCATAGAGCTGGGGTAGCTTTTTTTGGAACCGTGGTGCTGGGATAGTACTTCTTGGAATGGTGACGTCGGCATGAGTGTAAAAGCCAGTGGGGAAGCAGACATCTGCCTTTCTCTCAAGGCTGTCCAGCCCCCTGTGCAGAGAAGAGCAGCACCCCAGAAGGTGCCAGGGGGCACGTTAAGACACCAGCTCCCATCTCATGGCCACCTGGTTCTGCAGGGTTCTGCGCTCTTAGCCGAGTCAGCCAGGAGTCAAGAGGGCTCCGTGTGGGTGGCAGGGTGGGAGGCCGACAGGTGTGTCTCTTTCTGCCAACTTACACACTGGAAGTAGATATTTCCATTTGTTTCTTTTTTGTTCTTCTGTGTCTCCTAATTTTTCAACAGTAAGGATGGATTGCTTCTCCAGTAAGAAAATTGTTATTTTAAGTAGAGAGAGGAGGTTGCCAGGATGAGTTTGAAGGGCTACTATTCTCTATTTTCTGTCCCCCTCCTTTTTCCCCAGGTTCAGGGTCCATAGCACACCCCTAAGCGACCTCTGACCTGAAGGCAGTGGGCTGCCCTCACTGCAGGGCGGGAGGCAGGGACAGCTGGGGACAACTGTGGCCAAGGAGTCAGTCTCCCCACTTTTGGCAGAAGTTAGTCCCTGCTGCCCTCTGCCCTCTGGCCAAGTGTGAAGGCCACTTTATCTGCCTGGCTCTGCTGGCCCTTACCCATCTCTGTGTCCCCAGGCCTTTTCTCCCTCATGGGGCATCTTGGTGCCGTCTCATGATCCCTCACTTCACATCTCACTTGTGACTCAACACAGTTTGTGTTCTCAGGTCCAGGCTTTGCCACACTCTGGGAACCCCTTCTCCCGACAGCTGACCTGTAAGTTTGAAAATATGGACCACCTACATGTACTCTGCAAGTGGACTGGAAGATACTCTTTCCTTATATTTTAGAGTAGAATATTTTTTAAAAAAAACAACTGTCTGCCAGTCAACAGCTCTATAAACCATCATGGAGCTAACATAGTGTGCTCTGCACACTGGGGCTGTGGCTCAGTGGTAGAGTACTTGCCTAGCATGCATGAGACACTGGGCTCGATCCTGAGCACCACATAAATAAAGTTGTTTCCATCTACAATTTAAATAAATAAATAAATAAAAATTAAAGTACCATATCAAAAATAAAATTTAAACAACTTTTTATTCAAACTTTTCACTCATTTTTAAATATTGCTTTTGAGCTGGTATCAGAAAGGAGTCAGGGAAAAGAATGTGTTTTGATGAAATTTTTGAGGAAGCTCCAGATTTGGGATGCAATCACCACTTCCCATCCTTTTATCTAATTTCACTCTGTATTAACATGTTGGTTTTCTTATTTTTGATCCATGAGTCCTATGCTGTCCCTATGTTCACTGCCATGAAGAGGAGGTCTGTGGTGGGGGATGTGCCCACCCAACCGCATTTCACAGAGAGGAAGGAGAGAAGCAAAGAGAAAATAGTTCCACGAGTAACAGAAAATACTGGGAGGGGGGAAATATTGAATCCCCCCTAGTGGCAGGGGAAGAACTGGACAGTCTTTGGTGGGGAGGGACACTTACCTGCGCAGTGGGAGGTGGCAGCACTTTCTCAAAGGTTTCTCGAAAGGCACGAAGCTGGCTACCCGTCTGGCCTAGTGTGTCCTCCACCAGCTTCCTGAAGGCCGGCTCAGAGAGGTGGTGGTGGGGCAGCTGAGTGGGACAGACACTGTCAAGAGAGCCTTCTGCAGGACAGAGAGGCAAGAAGCCCCTGGCCACCCACACTGTAGCCCCAGAGGTCATGAGGGGCTTTTTTGTCCTGGTCAGCTGGCTCACTCTCCTTTAAGAAAGTCTCTCTTGGGGCTGGGGATGTGGCTCAAGTGGTAACACGCTCGCCTGGCATGCACAGGGCACCGGGTTCGATCCTCAGCACCACATAAAAATAAAATAAAGATGTTGTATCCACCGAAAATTGAAAAATAAATATTAAAAAATTCTCTCTCTCTCTCTCTCTCTCTCTCTCTCTCTCTCTCTCTCTCTCCCCCCTCTCTCCCCTCTCTCTCTCTTAAAAAAAAAAAAAAAAAGAAAGTCTCTCTCTATAGATCACCTGCCTGTCATGGTGCTCTAGCCACAGGACTGGTGGTCCTGGTATCCCTTCCTCCTAGCCACAGTGACAGATCCAAAGGATGATAAGGACAAGGGAAGGTCAATCGGACCCTCCCATCAGACTCAGTAAGTAAAGGCTGCCCTTGGTCACTCTTCCTTTAGATTTTCTAAGGTAAAGGTACAAGCTTGGATGTCTTCCTAGTCACCTCTCCCACCATGTAGAATTAAAAAAAAAAAAACAAACAAAAAACCACTGCCTGAAAATAAAGCCCATCTGGAGAGGAAAACAGCCCTGACAGCATTATTAGTCCTGCGCGGTACAGGCCTGAGCCTGGCCCCCTCCTGGGCTTTGCTTGTGCAAATCAATACATTCTTCATGCTGGAGCTGGTGTGGTTTGGGTTTATGTTATTTGTCACACAATGAGTCCTGCATAATGCTCTGTCCGGAGACCCTGACCCCATTAGGGACCTCTGCATCCCTATTAGACAAGCTAGGAGTGTGTGAGACCCACGGCCAACAGGGACACGTCTAACTCTCTGAGTGGTGGCTCTTTACTCTGCATTTTGACCTCTGGACTTTCTTCCACAGACTGTGAAGAGGTGGAGGTATGTGCCATGCAGGCATTTCCCAGCTGCACAGGGACAGGTGAAGGGACCACCGGACACAGATAAGGCAGGCTGGCAGCAATCCCCAGCAGGCCCCCGCAGTCTGCAGTTCAGGACCATTCAGGAAAGGCGCTTCCCTTCTGCTTTATTAATTTGGCCTCCTCCTGTTAGCCCCCCAACACCGCCCAGCCCTGCACATCCCAGGCTGCACACCAGTGCAGAGGGTGAGAGAAGCAAGAAAAGATCCCCGAGCCAGGTTTACGCTTCTACTTTGGGGAAGACAAAGGCTTCTTTCTGCAGATGGCTCAGGCCTAACTCAATTCAAAAAGGGAAATTCAGACAGAACTCAGTGCTAAATGCTGAGAGAGGCAAAAAGCAGGAAAGGCCAACGGTGCCAGCCCTCCTGAGGAGGCAGCTTCCAGTGCTGCGCACATCCCAGGGGCTGTGGGGTAGAAAGGATGGGGGGACAGAGTAGCCTGGGGACCACAATTCTGAGAGCTTTGTGGAAAGACTTATTCATCTGCACTGTATGCCAGGCTCTGTGGAAAGCCTGGGGGACGATGGAGGGGACTTCCAGGCTAAGGCAGTGACCAGGCAAAGGGAATGTGGTCATGCTCAGAGATGGTGTGCTAGAGAGAGGGACAGTGGGCCAAAAGTGGGGCTCTGGTCAGAGGTGATGGGAGGAGGAGGTAAATCTCAGAGGAATTTTAATGGAAGGAACTGGATGGGGAAAGCAACATGAAAAACAGGAGACTGAGTGTCACTGAGGACCACTGACATTGTGCCCAATGTCCAACTCAAGAGCCATTCAGCTTGGATTAACACAGAGCAACATGTGGAAGCTTCCTATACCAACTCCAGTCCTCAAACTTTTAAAATGAAAGTTTGCATGTTGAGGTTTTCACAGACCTTTCTGGAATCTATTTTTGTTTTCAGCTGAGAGCTCCTGTACAACCTGAGCACTATGTTCAGAGCCCAGGCTCTGGAATATGAACCAGGGTTTATTATTCATTATCTGTGTGGCCTTGCATGAGCTACTTAACTTCTCTGGGCCTTGGCTTCTTTATTTTTAAAATGAAGTTAATAAAAATAATACCTACTCTGTGAGGTTGTTGTGAGGATTAAATGAGATAACGCATGGAAAGTGCTCCAATCAGGTATATAACAACAGCTCACCAGGAGGTGGTTACTAAAAGTTATAGCAGTAGCACCAGTTTCAGACATTTACTCCTGACTATGTAGAAGGGACCTTCTGTCTCTGCCACCTGAAGATGGGTCCCAAGTCTGCTATTTTCCCAACACAGCTTGGTCTGTTTGGGTCCCAGAAGCTGGGATGCCTGGAGTCCCAGTCCTTCCTTGCTTTCATGGTCTGACTACGCTAAGGTGGAAGAAAAGACATGAGGGAGATCTAGAAGGTCTCCACTGCCCCTCTTAGGTACTCGACAGCCTGTTTAGGGGGCCTATCCTAAAGAGGGGCACCATGGTAGCCCTGCAATCAGCTGGCTGGTGGGGCTGGGCCTTGCATGGCTATGCCCTAGAGGTGCCCGAGTCCAGTGGCTTTACCTGGGCCACACTGCCTTCTGCCCTCTGCAGCACTTGCTCTGAAAGATCCTTCTGGAGAGCCACAAACGTGCGCAGGATCTGGCCCAGCCACTGCATAACCAGTTGGTTAAATTGTGGGAGCTCGGCCACCAGCAGGGAGTTGAGGGCCTGGTAGGTGTGCCGAGCCGCCTCTTCCTCATATGTCACGTTGCCCACCTCCAGCAGCTTCTCTTCCACCCGCTCAAAGTCCAGTAGCTTATCCAGACGTTTCTTGATCAAGTTCTGAGGGCCGACCAGGGCTTTGGCCAAGCTGCACAGTGGCCTCCACACCAGGCCTTCCAGCCGCTGCTTCTGTGGGGAGGGAAGAACTTGGGAGGTGGGTAGGGAGGCAGCTGGGGGCCGGAGCTGGGAGAAGGGGCTTTGGAGGCAGGTAGGCCTGGGTTCCAGTTCCCCCTTCACCAACTGCCTGTGGCCTGCAGCACGTTATCTCATCTCTCCAGGCCTCTGTCTGCAGGTCTGAAACATAGGGATGGCTGACAATGAGCTTGTGAGAGTGCCTGGCACAGAAGAGGCACTCACTTTATGTCCCTTCAGTATCATTACTGTGCAAAGATCTTGAAAAATAGTTTTTCAGAGGGTGACAGTCAAGAGCACAGTCTTTGGGACTCAGATTCCAGCACACTACTGACCATCTGTATAAAAACCCAAGAGGAGCTGGGGTTATGGCTCAGTGGTACAGCGCTTGCCTCACATGTGTGGGGCACTGGGTTTGATCTTCAGCACCACATAAATAAATAAAATAAAGGTATGTGTCCTTCTGCAACTAAAAATTTTAAAAAAATGTTCAAAAAGAATCCAAGAGATCACATCCTCTGAGGCTCAAGCTCTCATCTGCAGAATGGAACTATTAATAGTATCACCCTCAAAAGCATGTGCTGAGGAGTTCATGAGGTAAAGAATGTAAAGGAGCGCCCGGCAGAGAGTGAGGCTCAATAAACATTAGCGGGGGCTATTTTTATCAGCAAATGCACTAATAGTAATCCCTACCCTGCTGACCAGAGCACTTATGGATGTGGCAATTGTGTAAAGTGCCTGACTTCTAAATATTATCCTTGTAGGCTCTGCTACCTGCCTGGCAAAGAAAAGAGAAAAGTTCCACTTACAAACTCCAGGAAGGCCTGGCATTGAAGGTCTCTGGACAGGCTGCTGTACTGCTCCACAGGCCCTCCGGGGATGTCCAGATTGCATTCATGTGGCCGGAAGCGGAGGAAAGCCTGGACTCAGGGTCAACAGGACACATGCAGTCATGGCTCATCATGGTCATCTTCCCCCTGATCCCCTGCAGCCAAGCTCTGGAAGAGCAGCCCAGGCCCTCGGCACCCCGCCACCCCCATCACAGGCAGGCACACAGCCTGTTCTTGGGTGATTATGATTCTTCCTGAGACTGAGTCAACATCTTTCCCCCTCTGCCAGCACTTCTGAACTTCAAGCATTTGCAAACCACCTGTGATTTTTTTGCTATGTCTACATTCTGCATATTTCTATTAATACTTTTCCAACTATTCTTATTTAAATCAATGCATTAAAAAAATACCTTACGATGTTACCACAAAGGGAAAAACAGTAATAACTGCCATAGACACAGGAAAATAATTGCCATAAAAACAAAACAATGTTAATAAATTCTGCCTGGGTACTGATGCCTACTGAAGACCCCTGAACCTGTGACTTCTTGCACACATGTGAAAGATGGAACAGTGCAGTTGGGCACAGTGGTGCATACCTTAATCCGAGCAACTCTAGAGGCTAAGGCACGAGGATTGCAAGTTCAAGGCCAACCTTAGCAATTTAGAAAGGCCCTAAAGCAATTTCGCAAAAATCTCAAAATTTTTAAAAATGAAAAAGGGCTGGGGAATGTAACTCAGTGGTAAAGTGCCCCTAGGTTAAATCCCAAGTAACCCCTCTCGCACTCCCTCCCCCCAAAACAAGATGATCAGCACAGAGGCTTCTCCTTGACTCTGTTGGAGGGTAAAAGACAGAAGCCCTTTCTTACTGTGGGATTCAATGTCAACACTGCATCTGTTGTATAAGCTGTGTAAGTCCTGCATCTAAGCAAACACAGCTTTCAAATGTTCATTCTGCTGCCAAATACCCCTCTGGCTTCTCTCTGTCGAGGCCCAATACCTGCAGGTCCATTCCCCCTCTTTCTTGACCTGCCTCTGAGCACCTATCCCTTCTGCCTCACTGTGCCATAATAGGATCCTGGCTGCTCAGATCCTTGCACTGGGGACTCCAGATGAAGCATGAGCCAGCAGGGCCATCCGACCCCCATAAAGAGGAGTGTGGACCCAAACTTCCAGTAAGGCCACCCCAAAGCCCAAGTGGTCTGTGCCAATGAATGGGACTGAGGTAACACTGCCCAGGGGGCCATGCAGACAGAATGAGTCAGCACCAGTGACGGGGAAAAGAGGAATACTGCCCAAGAGAAGTGACAATCTGGGTGGCATACAAACTGGTGGCCCTGTGGGCTGAATTTGGTTTGAAAAGATGCATTTTCTAGGGCCCACAGAACATTTACAATTTTATTTAATTAGTTCTTACATTGACATGTCAGGATGTCCAGGGTATTCTTTCCTTAAAATCAGAAGATCTAGCCACACGGGGCCCACATTCCTATACATCAATTGTCAACCAGAGTCAGGTAGCAGCTCTTCCTTTAGATCATTCATTCATTCATTCAGCCTCCAAATTTCTTTGATTGAACCCAGGAGCACTTAACCACTGAGCCACATCCCCAGCCCTTTTTATTTTGAGACAGGGCCTCACTAAGTTGCCTAGGGCCTCACTAAGTTGCCTAGGGCCTCACTAAGTTGCTGAGGCTTGCTTTGAATTTGCAATCTTCCGGCCTTAGCCTCCCAAGTTGCTAGGATTAAGGCATGTGCTACCATACCCACCTCAGCCTCAAAATTTCAAACACTATATTTAAGTCTATTGAAAATATCTCATAGGCAGCCTGTTGGATGTCAGGCTCCTGCTGGGTCCTATTGCTTCCCTGCCTCACTGTGCTACAATAGGATCCTAGCTGCTCAGATCCATGCACTGGGGACTCCAGATGAAGCATGAGCCAGAAGGGCCACCTGACACCCACAAAGAGGAGTATGGACCCAGACTTCCAGTACGGCCACCCCAAATCCCATTATCCACTGAGCCCAAGTGGTCTGTGCAAATGGACCGGACAACATCTTTCCCCTTCTGCTAGCACTTCCGAACATCAAGCATTTGCAAACCACCCACCGCCAAAGAGACCTCAATAGTGGTACCTGCCTGTACTCTATCTGCACTGCAGTCTCTCTCCCCTGATCCAGGCGCTGGTCTCTCTGGGGGCCTTGGACCCCATTGAACTCTGACCTGCTTAGCAAGAGATGCGCCAGGGCTAGCTGGTCCTGGGCTGAGGTGTTTGCTTGCGCTGCTGACTTGGATCGGCCCACCCACATCTCCCTGTAGCTGCTGCTAGTCCAGACCCACCTGTTCTTAACCCTGCAGGGTCCTCACCTCCAGATTATCCAGGTAAGCGGCCACATTGCTCTTCAGCTCGGTCACACACAGGGACACCCATTGGAACCTCTCCTCTAGGTCATCAAATTCCTTGTCTTCTGTCTGAAAGTTACGCATGTGAAGGCTGAGAAAAGCCACATGGGGGCAGTGTACAACTGGCTCCCTTGTCCCATGTCCTCACTGGGAGCCATCTTTCCACAGACCCACCTACATATCAGGTTCCTGTAGCTCCAAAGCTGAGTGGGACAGTTAAAAGGCAGTGTAGCATAATAGTTTTGCATCCACATCATGGAATCAGACACAGAAGCATGAATTGGTTCCTAGCTTCCTAACTGTGTGACCATGGACAAGTGTTTTACCCTCTTGGAGCCTGTTTTCTCATTTGCAAAATGGGGACACTAAAAACACTTCACTGTGCAAATCAAATAATGTTCATTCAAATAGTTACTGGGAGCTACTTGTCAAGAACCAAAGCCTAGCTCTCCTATCTCTAACAAGGACCCTGACAACCAGGAGCCCTACGCTGGCTCTTCAGAATTGGGAATTTCATTTTCAGGCTCAACTGGTTCACTTCCGAAAGGAGCTTAAGCCTCCCGCCCACCACTGCACAGGGTCAGGTGCCTTGGTGGCTGTGGGGACTGTCCCTCCCCTGCCCATGCTCACCCTGGGCACCAGCCCTGCTTCTTGCTTCAGCAGCTGGCTCAGCCGGGTAGTCTTCTTGGAGAGGGTGTGCGTGTTGATGCGGGCCAGCCGCTCCCGGAGGCTCAGAGGCTCCACCCTGGTGTACTTGGAGGCTGTACCAACAGAGAAGAAGGTGGGCACCTTGGGTGACCCCGGCAGACCCAGGAGAGCAAGCATCCCTGATGTGCTGGCTGGGGATCACATTCACCAGGCCAGCAAATCATACAGGGAAAGCTGTGCTAGGGTCCTCAGTCCCTGCTGTGAGCTCTGGATGAAGAGCTGGGCTTTGCTGGACTTTGGCAAGTTACCACTCCTTCTGGCCTCGGTTTCCTCATCTGTAAGATGAGGCTGGCTGCCTCTTAGGATTGCTGGGAGGATCACATAAGACAGCAGGTACAGAGATGTCCTAAAGAAGAACCCAGCAAGAGGTGATTTGCCCGGACTCCCCTCTGCTGGTTTTAGGCAGGCCAGGTGGGAGCCACACGCCCACCTCTCCTTCCTGCTCCTTTGTGACCACTGCACCTGGAAGGAGAAGCAGGTGAGGAGGACATGCAAAGCTGTCAAATGCAATGCGGCATGGTGGCGAGGCTCCCAGGCCCAGGACTGAAACTTGACTCTGTGTCTTCTAGCTGTGACCAGAAGCAAAGGAGGTAAGTGCTCATCTTCCCCAACTGTGAAATGGGGCCGGCAGGGCCTACCTCAGTGGGGACCAAAGATGAGGAAGGGAAAATACTGCATGGTTAGCTCTTATGAAACAGCTGCTCACTCCCCTGATTTGATCTCCACACACTGTATATGCATATCGAATTAATGCACTGTACCCCATGCATATTTGTGAAATTAAAATAATAATGATTATAAAAGGAGGCATTAGCTAAATACGCAGTGTGCAGCTGAATTTCTCTATACCTGGGACATTGCTTCTTTTCTAAACCTTTCTATTGCAACAAGCTGAGAGGTAGAAATTCCTCCCACCACTGCCCCCCATTCTATTTAACTCCTTAATTCCTCAGTATTCACTTCTCCCCCACAGTGTAGCAGCCATGTGGTTTGGATGGGTTTGATCTCACTTTGGCTCAAGGAGTGGTTGCTGACGAATATAAACCAATCCATACAAACCCATCCTCCTGATAATAACAATGAGTTCAAAGAAGAGCACACACCCAGGCCTAAACCAATCAGTTCATAGCATTCTCCTAGCCATGGTGATTGGTTCATAGTGAGCCTGTGGCCCAACTGAGTCTTATCAGAATGATGCTCCAATTTAATTTTTAAGGCTAAGGGGAGAAAACCTCTGTTTTATCCCAGAGGGTAAGGTATGCAGATATGAGTCTTGGAACAATAATAGCACTTTCTACTTCCAGGGAAACCAGCCTAAAAATGAAGCTAAAACACAGTAAAGAGCAGAGGCAAGAGCATTAAAGGAAAATGGAGCTACTACCTTGATCAATCCCTACCTAAAGCCCATATTACTTCTGAGTTTATACAAGCTGTTGCATTCTCTTTATTGGTAAAGTCAGTTTGAGGTGAGTTGTTTTTCTTTTTGTTTCTGCAACCAGAAGCCTTCATCACTGATGTATCCCCTAGATGCTCCAAGTCCTTACCCACTTCCTTGCGCATCTTATACTCGTTGATGTTGGCATTCACATCCTGGAGGGCAGAGGCAGCCCTCTGTAGGACCAGGTAGGCACTGGCATCAGGGAGTGTATTCTCCAGGATTTTCTGTAGCAGCAATGGGTACCTGGTAATCCTCTGCAGAGGAATTACCAGTAAGAAACTGAGGCCTGAAGGTCCAGCTTGCGGCCTGAGGGAGAAGACTGGTATTAGGTAGGGAAAGCCCACCCTTTAGGGGGCTGAGGGGCCCAGCTGTAGGCCCAGCTCTGCCATTTAACTTGCTCTGTGATTTTGGGCGAGTTACTCTCCCCCACGGTCTTCAGTGTCCTCATGTGTGATTTGTGAGGTTTACGTGGGCAGTGACAGTCCCTTGCTTGCTCATCTGTACCGAATCCAATTGTCCATCCTCTGCCCTCAGTTTCCTCAGCCTCTCAGCAGCAGACGCGGCTGACATTCCCTTATCCTTGATATACATTCTTCTTTCAGCCTCAAAGACATTCTCAGTCTTGCTTCTCCTCATTCCACAGGCCACTTGGCCCCCTCTGCTGGCCTCTCTCTACTGTTGGAGTGTCCCGGGCCTCCTCACCTCCCACTTACTCTCTTAGTGACCTCCTCTGTTCCTATGGCCTTAAATATACCCCAAACCCATATCTCTGCCCTGTCCATGTGGCCAATTGCCTACTTGCCCTCTCTACTTGCACACGGCCCAAGCACAACTCTTTGTTGGGTACCTACATGATATTTCACTAAACAAAATGGTCTACTGCTTCTAAAAAAATGGTTTTGAAATCACAGGAACTTAATTTTTAATGTGCATTTAAGTATTCAGGAGCAAAAAGTCATAATATCTATAATAGACTTTAAATAATTTAGCATAAAAATAGATGGTAGGGTGGCACACCTGCAATCCCAGCAGCTCGGGAGGCTGACACAGGAGGATCACAAGTACAAAGCCAGCTTCAGAAATGGCGAGTTGCTAAGCAACTCAGTGTGAGACCCTGTCTCTACATAAAATACAAAATAGGGCTGGAAATGGGGCTCAGTGGTTGAGTGCCCCTGAGTTCAATCCCTGGTTACCCCACACACACAAAAAAAAAATGGGCTGGGATTATGGCTCACTGTAGAGCACTTGTCTCATGTGTGTGGGGCACTGGGTTCAATCCTTAGCACCATATAAATAAATAAAATAAAGGTATCATATATATCTACAACTTAAAATTAAGAAAAACAGATGAAGCAAGAAGCACAATGTTAGATTTTGCTCCGTTTAGGTGGTGGGCATGTGAATACCCATTACCTTGTCCTATTTTTCTATAGGTATCAATTTTTTTCTTTTTTAAAAAAATAAAACAAGGGGCTGGGGCTGTAGCTCAGTGGTAGAGTGCTTACCTAGCACGTGTGAGGCACTGGGTTCAATCCTCAGCACCACATAAATATAAAGAAAGAAAGGTATGTCTCTCTCTCTCTCTCTCTCTCTCTCTCTATATATATATATATATATATACACATATATATATTTAGTTGTAGATATATACCTATATATAAAGATTTTATATATATATATATATATATATATATATATATATACACACACACACACACATATGTATTAAAAAAAAAACAAAACGAGGGGCTGAGGTTGTGGCTCAGTGGTAGAATGCCTGTCTAGCATGTTTGAGGCACTGAGTTCGAGTCTCAGCACAAAATGTAAATAAATAAAATAAAGGTCCATCAACAACTTAAAAAATTAGAAAAAAAAACGAACACCTCATGGTGGCAAGGTCCATGCCACATACACTGCTAATGGCTGGATGGCATCTAGAATTTCATCAGGAGTCCAGGGCAGCTGGGGAGGGGCTCCGAAAGGCTTTCCTTGATCACAGCCAGTGGCCCGCTGGCCTGGCTTCCAAGAAACCCCCAGAGATCCAAACCTCAGATGTCCAGTGTGTCTCCTCCAAAAAGACTCACGAGTACTCCTCAGGACCATCCTCTGGCCCCTCTTTATTTTTTTTTTTTTTAAGAGAGAGAGAGAGAGAATTTTTTTTTTTTTTTTGTAGATGGACATAACACAATACCTTTTTTTTTTTTTTTTATGTGGTGTTGAGAATTGAACCCGGGTCCCGCCCGTGCTAGGGGAGTGCTCTACCACTAAGCCACAATCCCAGCCCCTGAACCCTCTTTGACGGAGCCCTCACCTCTTGTTTTTCTTAAGTGAAAGTCTCCAGACCAAATGTCCAGGAAAGAGCATCCATGAGGCTAAGAATCGACAGAGCAGGTGGGAGCCCCTTTGGGGTCTGCGGGGGTGGGGAGGCAGGGTGGGATCACCCATCGGGACATGCCTACACTGTCCATGTGCTCTCGCCAAGGGTGTCCTGGAGCTTGGCTGACTGTGGGCAGTGGAGGTGGAAACAGTTGGCAGATATTTGCAAAGCTCCATCCTCTGGGCTTGCTTTCCACGGGAAAGAGCCGATTGCCTCCTGGGGACAACTGTCACCTGACAAATCAGTGAGGGCTCCTTAAGAGATGATTCCATCCCTTTCCTTCATGATCACCATGGCGTTGCTACAGAATGCTGGCAGCCACTCACATTTACAGGCTCTCTAAGGTAACCTGGAGAGAATTTGTTTTATTATGCTTTGTTTTAATTTGGCTCCATGGGGATTGAAACCAGGGCCTCACATGTGCTAGGTAAGCACTGTACCACTGAACTACACCCCCAGCCCTTTTTAAAATTTTATTTTGAGACGGGTATCTAAGTTGCCTAGGCTGGCCTCAAAGTTGCAATCCTCTTGCCTCAGCCTCCCCCTCATCCCCAATGGCTGGGATTACAAGCATGCATCCCTAAGCCTAGTGAAGAAACTTCTATGTGGCCTTTCAGATAGGGGGGAAAAAAATCCTGAAAACTGATATGCAGAGCTGGGTGAATGTGATGAAAGAGGGCTTTTTATAGTCTCTCGTGGGTCATCCCTTGGGCAATTTGTGAAATGTACAAACCCTTTGCTCCATCAACCCCAGCCTAGAAATCCACCCCACAGAAATACTGGTTCAAGCAAACCAGGATAAAAGTAGAAGTTACCCAGCAACTCTAGGATTGCCAACAACTGGAAACAACACAAAATCCACCAACAGGAGAACGATGGAGTAAACCAGAATCTAGTCACTGTCCTGGGAGGAACTCTATGCAGGGATTAAAAAAAACATGGGAGAACTACCCATACTGTTATAAAAGATATTCATGGCTATGATTAAATGAAAAAGAAAGTTTAGAACAGCCTGTGTCGTAGGGGTACCTTAAAAATTCTGCCTGCCAATCTATCCATCTATTTGCAAATATACAGAAGAAAATTTGAATGGGCAACGTTCACTGCTGAAGGAAGAATGAGAAAATGGGAGACAAGGGAGAAGGGGCTTACAGTTTTTACTTTACATATCTGTGTATGGTCTCGTTTTTTCAATGAGTATTTCTGACCTTTATATTTGAAACAAACACAAGTTAACTGGTAAAGGAAAAAAAAAAAAAAAGCAGGTTTTTGGCTTACTCCAGACTGCTACCTCAGCCGCCATTCTGGAACTTGGGTGCTAGTGCTACACTAACCAATCCATCTCTGCAAGGAGACTCCAGGGTGGTCCTACTTAACAGGGAGCCTCCGCCGGCCACAGGGATGAATCTTTGGTCCCTTTGGTTTCTCAGGGGGAAATGCTGCCTTAAAAGACAGGACAGGGCTGGGGAGTGTAACCCCTGGGTCCCCGTCCCCACCCCCTAGCACCATGGGGTGGGGGGAGGATCAACAGAACACCCTGCTTTCTTACTCACCCAAATAAAGGGTAGAGGACAGCATGCATTTTGGAATCAAAAAGATTCAAAATTAGAAAAGATTCCTAATTAGAGGTACCATTTCTCCTGACAGACTGAGAAAGGACCGTTTTTGGCAGGTGAGGTGATTCTAGTTGGCCAAGCTCAGGGAAATATCCTGTGGTCATAAGCACAAGAAAGCCAAGACCATTGTTGGAAGAGGGAGGAGACCCAGAGCCAGGAAGAACTTCATTACTGACGCAGCCAGACGTTCCTACTGAGGGCAGTTTGTACTCTTACAGGCCGGGGGAGACCACCACTTACTGGGCAGGGTCACGTGCAAGAATATCCCCCTGGCTCATTTTCTCCGCCTCCCCAGGGGGTCCTATTTTCTGTGCTTCCATCATGTTCTTTCTTTCTTTCTCTTATCAAATGCAAGGAAGTCACAGTTGTTTGCCCAGCTAGTTGCTGCCGCTGGGCACGTACCCTCTCTGCTCCTTCATTTTCCTGGGCCCCTTGAACACAACTGCTTCAGACTTCTCTTTCCTTAAATCCAACCTTATTTATTTGAAGCAGACGCAGCATCTGATGGCTTCATTATATCTTTAAGTGTTGCCGTGCCTGAAGATTTACACACTGAAATAGGTATTATTTTATTAGGAATTATTTTCCTTGTATTTCTTCTCTGTATTATAGTTAAGTCATTATATTGTGCTTTTTTTTTTCATTTATGTATATAGGTAGGATTTTTCTTAATAAATGTATTTAATATTTCTTAAGAAAAAGGAGGCACTGGGACTGACAGAGTTAAGAACCACAGGGCAGTCTCAGAGAAAATACAACCCCCGCCTCACTAACATAACCAGAATAGCTAGTACTTATCGAGTGTCACTTGTGCGTCTGCGTCTGTGCTCCAGGAGGTACTGTTATCACTCCCACCTTCCCCATAAGGACACTAGGTTCTGACATATGAAATAGCTCTTCCGTGATAAGGGGGCCACCAGATCCACCACCAGACAGCCTAGTTCCAGGGCCTATGAGAAAAGCTGAGAGGGCAGAGGGTGAGACAAATAGCAGCCTTGGTGCCAACCGAGGTCTCCCCTACACGGCTTCTTGCATGTCTGAACTAGATGCCAACACATAACTCCTGGGAGGTGTTACATCCAAGTTTCTGGATTCCTGTGAAAAATCAGAGGCTCAGGCCCCAGGGGACTCACATTCCCACCTAACTATAGAGGCAGATGATTTAAAAAATTGGCTGCAACAGTTTCCCTCCCTGTTTTCCAAATTCTTTGAACTTGAATTTGAAGCCATTCTCACCAAGAAGGGGAAGGTGTTCCCTATCCTTTGAGTCTGGACTGGCCTTAGGACTTGATCTGAGTGACAAGACTCCACAGGCCTTGCCTGCCCCCCTAATCCGGAGAGCCTTGTAACCATCCCCTGAACAAGGCAGCCTGCAAGAAGAGAGCCCACGGGATGAGGGTAAGTCAGTTCCAATGTCCCAGATACAAGACAGAGCCCATCCAAGATCAGCAAGCTGACCCCAAGTAATTATAGTTTCATGGGGCTGCTCAGCCAGGACCAGAAGAACCATTGGCTCAGCCCAGTTATGTTGCTAATATACCTAATATTTAGTGTGAACTAAATAAACATCTGTTCTCAGCCACTGTGTTTGGGGTGGTTCATTATTCAGCAGAAGCTACCTGACAGCAGCAGTGCCCCAAGGCTGTGTGACAGCCAGCTCACACAAGGTGTGCCGTTCCCCGGCACCAGCCTCCACGGCTTTCCTGTCCCACAGCTGGAGCCTCACCTCCCTGACTTCTGAACCCTGCCTAACTCCTACAGAAATGTATTTAGTGATCCTTGCAAAAGTCTGCATCTATAAGACCCACGAGGGGAAAATGAGTGTGGTTTTTTGGAGGCAGGGAGGAGCTGGGATCTGGGTACTTGAGAAGGAGAATTTGGTGGAAAGAGGGAGACTGAGAAGAGGGAGCAAAGACAGAGGAGGAGAGGAGGTGGCTGGAGGTTCCCCCTGTGATAATCATATCTGGAAAGACCTGAATCTACACTCTCTTTCTCTTGGATGTAAAAGGGATGTATGAGTAAAATGAATTAATAATAATAACTCTATCCTTCCTATAGTACTCTGGTTTTCAGAAAATGACCTTCATCTGCCTCCATCTGGTGAGTTGTCCTGGGTGAGATATTACCTTTTCTGTGTTTTCTTTACTGGTCATTGAACCTAGGGCACTCTACCACTGAGCTAAATCCCAAATCCTTCTTTTTCTTTTTTTTTTAAATTAATTAATTTTTAAATTATTATTGTTTATTTATTTATTATACAAGGAATTAAACCCATCCCTAGGTTCACATTCCCAGTCCTTTTGTATTTTTTATTTTGGGACAGGGTCTCACTAAGTTGCTGAAGCTGACTTTGAACTCATGATCCTCTTGCCTCGGCTTCCCAAGCTGCTAGAATTACAGGTGTGTACCTCTCTCCTTTTTATTTATTTATTTAATTTATTTTCTTTTGAGACAGGGTTTTACTAAGTTGCCAAGGCTGGCGTTGAACTTGGCAATCCTCCTGCCTCAGCCCTCTGCGTAGCTGGGATTATAGGTATGCATGACAGCACCCAGTTATAATTCTTTTTTTATATATTTTTTTTAGTTGTTGATGAATCTTTATTTTATTTATTTATATGTAGAACTGAGAATTGAACCCAATGCCTCACACATGCTAGGCAAGTGCTTGCTATACCACTGAGCCACAACCCAGCCCTCTTTTTTTAATATAGAAAAGAAGCAGAAAATTTTTGCAGGAAAGGACAAATAGACTCTTAAGTAAACAAAAAAGATGACAAACCTATAGATGCAAAATAAAACCACACTGAGACACCACAACAGGCACTCTGACCTGTTGCTAAGGGGTATGTAAATTGACATTGCCTTTACAGAGAGAAATTTAAAGTGTATCAAAATTATCCATACATATTTCCTTTGAACTAGCAGTTACATTTCTGGAAACATACCTTACAAATATACTTACACCAAGTAAAATGACTTAGGTTTGGGGAATAAACACTGTAGCTCTCTCTGCAATATCAAAAGAATGGAAACAAACCAAGTGTCTATCCAGAGACCAGTTAAATACTGTGGCCCAGATACCTCGAGGAAGGGTGTCTGAAGGTCAAAGGGCCATGATGTTAAGGATTGAAATAGAAAGACCTCCAAGGGAGATATATGCATAATCGAGATTTTTTTAAAATGACACAAACTGGGCTGGGGGAGTTGATCAGTGGGCAAATAACCTGCCTAGTGCCTGCCTGGTTCAATCCCCAGTATCCCAAAAAAATTTTTAAAAAGATAAAACTTTCATTTAAAAATCAGGAAAATAAGTGTATATATTTGCAATTGCTTGTATGTACAAAAAGGAACTACACAAAGAGACATGAAATATTTAAAAGTGGTTACCTTAACTTTGGGGACAGGAACCGGGTAGATGAAGGGTCGGGGTTGGGAAGATTCTTTTGCTATATTAATATTTATGTTTTACAGTTTTTGACTCATATAACTAAGTTATTCATTCAAAATTTAAATTAAAAATACTTTCCCTGCATTTCTTTATCTGGAGTGTGTAAATATGGATGCCAGCTCTGGGCCATGAGGCAACTGGGAACAGTTCTGACACATTTTTAAGTGGGCTTCAGCCATCTATAAAAAGGGGGCCCAAAGTGATACACACCTGCTTCCCAACCCCACTGTTGACAACCCTTGGTTCCTGGTTCCCACCATGTCACTGCCCCTCTCTGAAGTAGCATGAGTGTTATTCACTAAGTGTTTCTGCTTTTTTGCCTCTGGATATGTGGCAGGATGGGGCTCCCCACCTCCTAGCAGGTGGATACAGCAGTGATTAGTCCTAGCAAATGAGCTGTGGAAGCAATGGGTGTTATTTCTGTACCAGAGCATTTAATACCAGTGACTGACTTCTAGAGCTCCTTCTTCCCTTGCCATAACTTCTGCCAATACCCCAGAGGGTGGCTGCTATGAGCATGCCTCCTGGAGTGAGGGTGATAAAGGAAAGAGCCCGAGATGGAACATAAAAAAGATATCAACCTTTGCCATTGAATCCACTGCAATTTGGGAGCCATTTATTTCAGCAGCATGGCCTGGCCTGTGCTGACTATAAAGGTACTGATATTAACACACTCCTGAAGCAGCATGAGCAACCCCAAGTAGGACTAAGATGGGAACTGTCCCGCTGAGCTCAAGGTCAGTGGGGCAAGAGCAAGGGTTCAATGCTACTCACACCACTGCCTCAATGGTGCTCTGGATCTTCTGCTGCAGCTCCGGCTCCTTCCGGTACGTCTCCAACAGCAGCAAGGCCTGGTCATAGCTGGCACAATAGACCTTATAGACTCGCTCAAACTCCTCTTGGAATTCCAAAAATAATTTACCTAACAATGAACAAGCAACAAGGGATTATCAAGGGCATGTCCTCTTGTTTAGAGGAAGGAGGCAGAAGGTGAGCTACCCAGTTCTGTGGTGAGACTTCCAGGCTTCACCAACATGTTGCTGTGGGCAAGTGACCTCCTATTTCTGTCTTTTTATCTGTTCCGTAATGTTGCTGAAGGACTGAGTGACACAATGGTGAAGTGCCCAAGCTGTAACCTCCTAGTACAGTTTGAGTATCCTTCATCTAAGATGCTTGGGACCAGAATCATGGGATCATAATGTATTTGCACATACATTATGAGATATCTAAGGGGTGGGACCCAAGACTAAACACAAAATTCATTTATGTATCATATAGACCTTGTATACACAGGCTAAAGGTAGTTTTATGCCATATTTTTAGTGTGCCTGTGTTTTGACCATGACTCATCATAGAAGGTCAGGTGTGGAATTTTCCACTTGTGGCATCATGTCAGCACTCAAAAACTTTTATATTTTGAAGAGTTTCAGGTTTTGGATTTTAAGATTAAGATCATTGTAATGTCATGTGTAGCTAATAAAAAAAAAAGATTAGGTATCATCAACCTATACAGAATAAACAGTAGCTACAATTGCTGCAATAATAGCAAAGATGCCCACATTTAGAACTGCCTTATGGCTTACAAAACACACTAGTGACCATCAGCTCATTTTATCTTTGTGATTAATTCTGTGCACCACATACAGTCAGGAACCCCCAAATGTACCAAGGAACACATGGTACAGTACAGGCAGCATAGAACAGGTAGTTGCAAACAAGTGAAGGCTTTAGCATTAGAAAGAACTAAGGCCACATCATGGGGCAGACTTTCCCCAATCATGTAACCTGGGGAAAGATTTGATTCCTCTGACCCTGCGTTTTCTCATCTATAGTATGGGCATAAAATTAGTACTCACTTCCAATTGTGTGTGTGTGTGTGTGTGTGTGTGTGTGTGTGACAGAAAGAGAAAGAGAGAGAGAAATAATACATGTAAAGCACCTGAAATAAATTTCACTCACCAAATATTGACCAACTGCTTATTTATTGACTATGTGCCAGGCACTCTGCTAAGCTCTGTGAACAAAACAAAGCCCCTGCCTCAGGGGTTTATAGCTTACTGGGGAAGACAGGCAATAAATACGGCGGTCCCTCCATATCCATAGGTTTTGTACGCATGGACTCAAACAACCGAAGATCAAAAATATTCAAAAAGAAAAATGTGTCTGTACTGAACACACCCAGGCTTTTCTTCTTGTCATTCCCCGCAAGCAATGAAGTACAACAGCTATCTATGATTGTGGTACCTGACAGGGTCCTGAAACCTGCCGCCTGTAGATACCAAGGGATGACTGTATACTACACACACCAGGTAGTGATGAGTGTCACAAATTAAAACAAAGTAAAATAAAGAGAGAGTGGTGGGGAATCTATTTGGGGAAAGACTCCATGAAGATACAAGCGAGCATCTATTAGAGACTGGAAGCAACCAGCCCTGGGAACTCAGGGCAAGCGCAGTTCTCTGGTGTAGGACGAACAAAGACAGAGCCCAAAGGCAGGGGAGTCTCTGCATGAGGGGGCTCAGCTGGAGCAGAGCGAACAAGGACATAAGGAGGAAATGAACACGAGACTAAAGCCCCATCATGGAGGGCCCCGATGGAGTGAGGCACAGTAAGTTATGCTAATCTTACTTGCCATCTTAAGGTGTCCAGATTGCATTCTACAAAGGTGGCAGGAAGCAAATGGAGGGTTTTGAGCAGGGGTGATGTGAACTGATTTCGGCTCAATTTCGGGAACATGTACACTAAAGCTGCAAAGCATAGGGAAGATTAGCACAGCCCCTGTAGAAGAGTGAAGTGCAATTCATGAGGTGTTTCATGTTTTAAAATAAAAAAAACTAATGAGATTGGTGGCTTATAGTGGGCGGAAGGAACAAGGCATGAAGAATGAGGGAATGGGGGTGGCCCAGTAGGGAGGAGAGAGGGGGAGCCATGCTTCATTAAAATGACTTTTGTGTATAACTCTGACTCTTGGGACTGTGGTTATTTTTTCTGTAAGCCTAAAAGTGCTCTAAAAGGTCGGGGGGTCTGAAGGTGTAGTTCAGTAGTAGAGCACCCTTGGGTTCAAATTCCAGTACCAAAAACAAAACAAAACAAACCTGAATTGCTTTTGGTGGCCCAGCAGTGAGAAAGTGGTAAGAATGAAGACAAATGTGTTAACCACAACAGGGAGGTGGGAACCAGGGCCACAGGCAGGACAGGTGACCTTTCTGCCTGCCAAAGTCATAGACTGGGTCTCTATCCAAGTCTCCTTTGGGACCATCAGATGGTTCTCAGTAAATTTCCACACATGACATCACCACCCCAGGACCTTCACTAGTGCAATCCAGCAAATCCTCAGGGATAACTCCTGGGAGAAGGCCCAGGGTCAGGAAGAAGATGACCAGGAAAGGAGACCCCCAAAGCTTGTATCTGGGGAGAATCTGTGGGGTAGAAGGAGGTCAGCCAGCTGCAGAGCAACTCCACTGAGAGCCAGTGTGGACCTGGCCACGAAACCTAGAGCAATTTCTCCATTCTCTCAACATAGGGATGTTCTCAGGAATGTGAACATGTTAAAGACACTGTCACACCACTGTGGACAGGGACAGGGGAGTTTCAGTAACTGAAGAGCAAAGGAAGGGAAATTCCCAGAGAGTGGAGAGAAAAGCAGGATGTCCAGGACACCAAAGTAAAGGCTTTTCCCTCCCCTTCTTGTCCTGACTCATTTAGGAGAAAAAGAAGTCTGTTAAAAGACTGTTGTGGGGCTGAAGATGTAGCTTAGTGGTAGAGTTCCTGCCTAGCATGTGTGAGGCCCTGGGTTCCATCCCCATTACCAAAAAAGTCTTGCCTGAGGTCCAAAAATCTTTAAAAATGCTGTTGCTACCCCATAGGAAAAGGGCTTTCCTTGCATAGCACAGCCTGGGAAGAGAAGTTTAGCAAGCAGGAGCCAGAGTAGCCTGATCTGGCACATGGCTGCACCTTTAAGAGGTGATTAGGTCACGGGGACCAGATATGATTTGAGGGCCCTACTGCCTCTGACATGTTGTGTTTCAGGGATCCCCAAACCAGACTCCCAATGAGACACACTTCCATAGAATTCTAAAGCCCGTTCCCCATATTCTGCAATGACCACGTGCTAAGGACAGTTCCACAGGAAGTGAAGGCCAATAACTCCCTAGGTTTTCTACTTACCAATTAGGTACACTTGCTCCTCTTCCTTGGAGGCCGTCTCCTGCAGACCATGAAGAAATCTGCTGCTAACTTGGATGATTTCATCCATGTTTGAGAACAGGACATCCAGATCTCCCTGTGGCAGCTGAAAAAACAAAAACAAAGAAGCCCGAGGAGGTCGCTGGGAGTCTGGTAGAGAGACTACCTGTGACTTTGCAGAGTAGCCCCAACCTCTCACACCATCAGTGTCCCACCACCCTCAGGAAGACTGCCTGACCCAGTGGAATGTTTGCAAGGATTTGAAATTTACAAATTATGTTTTTTCACTACTCTGCAAGGAGAAACGAAGACATGGAGTACTCAGCATGCAAAAGAGGCTGAACGAGGGCTTCATTCCTAGGTCTGCTGCCAACTGTTACTTTTTTTCTCCCTGTTTCTCCATCTGTCATCTGACAATGTGAAGTTAGATTTCTTGCCAGCTCTGACATACTTGGCATCTACTATCATTACCTGGAGATGTACTCCAAACTCCAGTCCCTATTAACCAGACTACACTACTGTTAAAAAGGGTGCAGGACATCTATATGTACACACCAGTCCCTCTACCAGACTTCCAGCACCAAAATGTGAGCTGGATGCACATCAAGAGGGAACTGTGGTACAACGTCTATAATATGCTCTTATTTTTGCTAAAATGAAAAACAACATATATGTTTGTTTTAGTGCCTATTATTCTGAAGGGTAAAATAATAGAGGTCTTTTATCTTCTACATTATCTATTTTGTTATTCATAATCATTCAAGAATCACTAATCAAGCCAAGTGTGGTGGTGCACACCTGTAATCCCTGTGACTTGAGGCTGAGGCAGGAGAACTACAAGTTCGAGGCCAGCCTCAGCAAGTTAGTAAAATAAAATAAAGAAAGAAATTTGTCTCAAAATTAAAAAATTAAAATAAAAAGGGCTAGGGATATAGCTCACTGGTAGAGCACCCCTAGGTTCAATCCCCAGTACTCAAAAAAAAAAAAAAGTCACTAATTGAATGTCCATGATTTATGTACCCAGACTGGGATATACTGAATTAAACAAAGCCTTTGCTGTTCTGGAGCTTGCATACTTGAAATTCTATAGCAAGATCCTATATTGCTTTTAAAATTGGGGGGAAAAAAAGATGCAAAAAGCGAACACTATAATAGAAACCCACGAGAGTGCTGATTTCTCCAAGTCATCACCCTGTGAAATGAGACAATTAGAATGTAGGTCAGTTTAAGCAATTTGTTCTAAATTGAAAAAGGGCTTGTCCATTAGCTCAATTAATTCTGAGGGGCTTATTCCTCTCCCCATTAGCCCGTGAATAAATACACTGCGACTCGAAGCTATCCAAGGCCTTGCTGGAGGTTGGAGAGCCAGTAAATGGTAGTCCTAGGGCTTACAGAACACTCAGACTTAATACTCACATGCTTCCTTTCCATCAGGCCTGCCCCAGGACAGATGTGAGGTCTCAGAAGCAGACTCACAGTTACCCCTATAAGGATGGCCTATGGGTGGCCCCAACCAAGTACCTGCTGGAGGCGGCCCCTGATGTTGGAGGCACAGAGTTGAAGCATGTGCAAATAGGAGACCTCAGTGTCCAGGAGCTCCCTGACAGCCAGTCTCTGATGGAGCAACCGTCTGTCCTCAGAGCTGCGACCTTCCTCGTCTGGACTCCCTGGTCTGGAGGTGGACTCATGATCACTCATGTCCTCAGGTTCTGGGAAAAACAAAACCATCCTGATTTATTTCCAGGGAGCACTACTGGAAAATGTTGTCCCTAATTTGAAGACAACTATTCATCAAGAGATCTAAAAACATCTCGCATAACAGAGTCAAGATGAAGTGTTGATTAGCCTTTAGGGGCAGTATCTGGACTCTATAAAAAGGCAGACAACAGCTCAGATCAACTGCTGACATTTTAAATTCATTTCCCAGGACTCAGACAATGTGCTTTCCTGGCTCTTCTATTTTCACCCCAGCTTTTGACCCAGATTTCTTCATCTGGTTCAGCTCAGTGCCTCTTATCCTCTCTCTCTCCTGATGGTTCCCCCCACCTTGTTATGCCATCAGGACATACAACCTATCACCTGGACTACTTCCCCAGACTCTAGGATCATCCTTCCAAATCCACACCTCTCTCCTGCTGCCAACCATATGCATTCATTCTGAACACGTTTCCAGTTTAAACTCTCTGAAACAAAGCCGTTATCACAACGCTCCCTGTTGTAAGGCTTTTAATAGCTCCCTGCTGCTCAGTGGTCCATTCAGCCTCATTTCCCCTCCAGCAGAAACGAGTGCATTACTTTACTCCATACTTGCCTAGTCCTGCCCTGCTTTTGTGCTTCTATACCCCTGTGTCTCTATTCTCCAACATACATTTTCTCTTGGGCCATTCCTGGTCCTCCCCCTTTTCACTCCACCCTCTGTACTTTTCTGAAACTCCCACTGCCCCTTTATCTCTAAATTTAAAAATATACAGGAAATAATGTGGACAAGATGACCTGGAAAAAAAAAACCTTCCTACTTCCAAACGCTTAGGAATGCCAGATCAGCTATAATAAACTTTAATTTAACTGCATGACAGAGCTTGCAAGAGAGTTAAGGAAATCACAAGGCTCAAAGCCCAGGGAACTGACCTGAGCAGGGAGTAGCTCAGCTGATGCAGCTGTGGTCCTCACAGGGAAGACAGCATGGTCAGTACCAGCAAACTGGGGACTTAACAAGCTCCTTCAACCATCTGGGACCCCCCAGGACTTCAGTAAAATGATAGGTGAGAAAAAAAGAAAGAAAGAAAGTCCACCCACATTTACAGAAAATGTCAAAAATACTTCTCCATCTTGGTTTGGGTCCTAGGTGAACTGGCCTTCTAGATTTCTACAATGACTTGGAGGCAAAATCAAGGAAAATAAAAGGGCTAAGGGGACAGACAACATTTTGGCCCTCTGCCTCCTAGGTCAGCTGGGACACAGGGAATGACACAATCCCTCTAAAGGGCCCTGCAATTCCAGTGAGACACTCAACCTCCTGATCAGAGGGATCAAAAAGACCCAGAAAGTAGGAGTTACCAGTGCATGTTCTACAAGAAGGAGGGTCACTGAGCAGGAGAATGTCCCCCAACACTTCCAACAGAAGCTATGTGGTCCTCAAGACCTGAACCCATCCCCACAGATGGCACAATGGGTAGAGGAAAAACCAAAGAGGATAAAAAGCTCCCCTCAAGTCCCTAAGAGTAACTCATTGACCTTGAAAGGAAAAAAGTTAATTTGGGGCCAACAGGAGGCTGCCTAATTGGGGTCTTAAAATACCCAGGGGGAAGGCATAACCAGAGGCAACTGTGTCATAACAGAGGTAAAGAAAAAACACAATCATGGAGCTATTTAAAAGAAAAAGACCTCCACACGTACATAATTTATGAAATTAGACATCTTCTGACTTTGGCTCCCTCTTGTATTCTGCTTCAAAGTTTACTTTTCAGCTTAAGCATCTGGCCTTTTTCACTTATGAAAGTTGGCCATTGTTTAAAGACCCTTGTTCATTTTCTTATGCACCAGTTTACCACCAGCCAGAAAACTTAGGAAACCCTACGGCTGATGCCCTAATTCCCTCCAGACTGAATGAAAAAAGTTAAGAGGGGAATTTTATGGGCTGGGGATATAGCTCAGTGGTAGAGGGCTTGTCAGGTATGTGTGAAACCCTGGGCTCAATCCCCAATACTGCCAAAAATAAAAAAGAGGTGAATTACAACAGAGACTTTATCAAAAACAGTGACTCTCTTCCTAGGCCAGCAGATGCCCCATAGGTAATATGTAAAAGTCTAGCATCTCTGCCTTCATTCTGTATCTGTTTCCTTTATTACCTTAAACTTTGTGACCTGTCCAGCTCTACAGGGAGACATGTCAACCATTTAAGGATTGTTTATCCAAAACTGCTAACCCAAGGTTTATTAGCCCTAAATTGATCTAACCTGTTTTGTCCCCCTTCAAGACTAGGACAAGATTTGCAGGGACATTCCTTTTTTTAAAATATTTTCTTTAGTTGTTGATAGACTTTTATTTTATTCATTTATTTATATATGGTGCTGAAAATCGAACCCAGTGCCTCACACATGTCAGGGAAGTGCTCTACCACTAATCCACAACCCCAGCCCTTGTAGGGACATTTGACTGTCAGCTTTTACAGATTCCTGGCTCACACCCCTGGAGTTGCACCTAGAAGTCTTCAGTTGTCCTCCACCACCTTCAAGGAACACTGCGAGGTACATCGCCCACAATGAGACTGTCCCCCAAGCAGGGGCCATCATCTCCTGGGAACTGTATTACCCCCCTTTCAGAATCACAGGTCTGAGAGATAAACCTCCTGAGCAGCAAGTGGAAATTGCCCCCTCAAGAGATAAGAACTTCTCCAGAGCCACCTGGCAGAACCAGAACTCAAATAATGATCAACCAGACCAGTTTGAGGAAGATTGCTTAATTAGGCACACTTCTCATCCCTTGCCCCAATTCTTCCTCCAACTAAACCTAAAGCTCATGGTAGAACTGAGCTATTTGATCTCACTTATCCTTCCCAATATGGCCACATTGATTAAATCTATTTTTCGGCTTTTCACCATTACCTTTCTGTTTGGTTTTGGGGGTAAATGGATGGATCTGGTTTGTTGGAACCCATGGAATCAGGTCTCTGACCTAGGACACTGGAAACAGCTATAGGAGAAATAACATATCTCCAGGAGGACACATCTTAACCTAAGCTACAGATAACCATGTCCTTCAGATGAGTTTGGATTCCAAAATTACAAGAAGACCATTTCTTGTAATAAGTGAGCACAAAGCAATGAGGAGCAAGATTAGACCCCAAATTATCAGGTAGAAATGATAATACAAAGGGAAATGAAAGGCATTACAAAAAATGAAAACCTATATGATTTTTTAAAGCAACTTACAGAAATTGAAAATTTAGTCTTTGAAGTTAAAAAAACTGATTAAACAGATTAAGAAGACACTAAGGAAAAACAAAGACTAAAAGGGCAGATAGATCTGGAGAAATTTTCCAGATTGCTAAACAGAGAGAAAAATATGGAAAATACTAGAGAAAAATATAAGGGATATGGATGCTCAAATTAAAAAAAAATCCACATAACAAATGCAAGTCCTGGTAGACAAGAATACTAAAAAAGGTACTAAGAGCCATGGGGCACAACTGTAATTCCAGTGACTAAGGAGGTTGAGACAAGAGGACCACAAGTCCAAGGCTAGCCTCCACTACTTAGTGAGATCATGTCTCAAAAAAAGGGAAGGGGGGTGCTGGGGATATAGCTTAGTGGTAGAGTGCCCCTGGGTTCAATCCCCAGTACATGAGAAAAAAGTAGAGTAAAGAGAGGCAATATTTGAAAAGTTAAGACTGGAAACTATCCAGAATTTATAAAAGATTTGAATACTTAGATCTAGGAAGTACAAGTTCCAAGAAGGATAAGTTTTTTTTTTTTTGTTTTGTTTTGTTTTTGTTTTTTGTTTTTTCCACATCTAAACATGTTGTGGAGAAGTTGCAGGATTCTGAAGGCCTAGAGAATCTGTTCTTGGAAAACTACTTGAGAATTTGTCCCACAAAAACAAAGAAATAAGAAAGAGGAAGATTCAGGATATGGTAACTAAACACTGGAGAGGGAAGGACCAAAGGAATCCTCAGAATAGGTGAGGAAAAATCCTAGGCTTTGGTAGTTGGCTCCAGGCAGAGGGCACAATCTGGATAGAGAACTGCAGAAGGTTCTAGAATGTCTTATAGGCTGGTTTATTGAATTGATACAGAATTTAGTGTTTAATTAGGAATAATTACATAGATAATACATAGAAAACTAAGGAACAAATCAACTAACAAAACAAAACAATTGTTAGAACAACTTTTATGCAGAAAAGAAAGAGTCCTGTCCAGGCTGAGCACAGTGGTGCATCCCTGTAATCCCAGTTGCTCAGGAGGCTGAGGCAGTAGCACTGCAAATTTAAGGCCAGCTGGGGCAATTCTGAGCCTTTCTTAAAATAAAAAGGGTTGGAAATGTGACTCTGTGATAGCATGGCCCTGGGTTTAATCCTCAGTACAGAAAAAAGAAAAAAGAAAAAAAGTCCTGTTCTGTCCCCTTAATGAAGAAATGCTACAACTGAGGGACCAAGAAGAATCTGAACAAACAGGTCTTGCTGGGTTTCTCTACTCAGTCTATTACTATTAGCTCATACCGTTTTTGTACAATTAGTTTTCTACATAGTGTGTGTGCTCCACAAACCTAAGCATAAAGTCAGGTAGCTCCACTGGAGCTCCAGTCTGAAGGCTCCTATGTCAGGTACAACTATGATCATATAAGTTTGCTATGTCTTTCTCCTGTTAATCTACTGCCATTGTATTTCAGAAGACTTAAATATTCAACTTTCTGAGGAAAAGTATAAAACTTCCCTGCCTGTGCTTTTTAAAGATAAGAGGTAAATTCTAAAACAATTAGCCAAAAACAATGGAAGGAGTTGTCTTTTGGTAGCTGGGACAGGAAGGAAATGAAGAAAGACAGGCTGTTTTTCATAACATACACTGCAGAATTGTCTGCTTTTCATAATAAACAGAACTATCCATCTCCTTAAAATACATGCTTCTCGTGTCTGGGGCTGGGGCTAGGGCTCAGTGTTAGAGCACTTGCCTCACCTGTGTGAGGCACTGGGTCCAATCCTCAGCACCACATAA